AGATCTATTCAATATTTTTTACTTATTGGTCAGCAATACATAGTGGAGCCAATGATGGTATGGGCTTTCCATTTCTGTTTTTAGCCATTTTTTTAATATCGGAGGATAGTGTTGGAAAAGCGGTTGGTAAATGGATCTACATAACATGTCTGTTTCAAATCATTCTTTCCTGCGTTATTGGCGTTGTCGTTGGATATATTGCCAGAAAGGCGTTACAGTGGTCCGAGAAACGGTCAGCTTTAAAAGAATGGGAGTAAGATATAACATGATTAACATGTCTAATATAGCCGTCTTATCGACAAACCATCATTTCTGTCCTTTGCTATTGCGTTGGCAGTAAGTTAGTTTCTTCAAGAACAGAAAGACATATTCACTCTATTGTTTTAGCTCTTCTTAATGAGCGTTACCGGATTCTCTGGCAGTGATGACCTCCTCGCATGCTTTGTTGCTGGCAACGCGTTTTCATGGGATGAATGGTTCAGGCGCGAGACAGAAGAAGCTCATTTTCAAGAGGTGATTGATATGATGCTAAATCTAGCTATATTCGTTTACATTGGCTCTATTATAGTAAGCTAAATACGATGGTGTATGAGTTTGCTCAATAACATCCTCTTGATAGCCTTGGTGGGAGTTTAATAATCACGAACTTGGCTTGGAGCCATGGAGAATGGTGCTTGTAGCCTTCCTTGTCTTGTTTTTCCGCCGTCTGCCTGTTGTCGTCTTGCTCAAACCGGCAATGCCAGCCATCAAAACCTATCGAGAGGCTGTTTTCAGCGGATGGTTTGGACCTATTGGCGTTGGCGCTGTCTTTTTATCGACAATTGCCAAGGAAGAACTAGAGACTGTTTATGAAGGAAAAGAGAAACCACTAGCCACTCAAATTGTGGGTCCCGTCGTGCTCTTTATTGTGTTTTCGTCTGTTGTCATACATGGTACGACGGTTCCTTTGTTCAAGCTTGGTAGAACGATTCGCACAAGGACAGTGTCGGTAAATAAGCCTGCTGATGTTGCGGCTGTTTCCGAAAAAGCCGACCATCAGGATGAGCAAGATAGAGACATGAGGACAGCAGATGAGAAAAAGGATGAACAGACTTCCAATGGAAGCACAATACTGGTCAAGCCATCGGAGAGCAATAGACAAGTGATAGTAGATATGCATCCATCAGATTTTGAATATTCTGAAGAGGACTTTTTGCCAGATGACGTGTCCGATGCTATTGCAAGCACAAAGTACGATTTGTTAACAAGCACCGCTAGTCGGTCGTTATCTTCTGTCAGAACGAGGGCAAGTGGTAGTAAGGCTTCTGTTACCTTTGCAAGCAACGTAGGTACGACAACAAAATTGGTAGAACCTCCTGAACATAGTACAGTTGATAAAAAAAAGAAACCAGAAGAAGTGGTTAGCTTGAAGACGTGGTTCTTTAGAAGCAATTCAGCTTCCAGAATTCAAAAAAGAAGGAGGCAAAAAGAAAAAGAAAGGAAGAGAAGGATAAAGGAAGATAAAAGGATGTTGAAAGAAAAACAAAAAGAAGAGAAAAGGTTACTAAAGGAAAGACAAAGGACAGGAATAACCAATCCCACGATTCGAGTGACTGAAGTAGTAGTATGATAAATAAAATTATGTATGCTTTTAAGCAGATTAAAAAGTCTAAGTTACGCAAAAAGGGGGGAGAAGCGGTTCTATCATCTTGTCCTCACGTGCCCTTGTTTTTTTAAATCAATAAATAAGCTCCATCCCCCCTTTCCTTTTTTCTTTTTTTATTTTTTTCTCTTTATGAGCAAAGATAAAGAAAGGCTACATTCATTCTTATTCCGTCATGTTCCATCTCAAGTCAGCAATAAGCAAAAGTTATGCTATAGACATAGGCCCGACTTAGTAAAGAATAGAGGACCAGATGAATTTAGCGCTCAACAAGTGCAAGAGGTAGAAAAGAATTGACGGCTCAAGTTCAACAGTTTAATTGTTTATGATTAGGAAATTGAACGACTACCAACAGCGGATAAGGAAGCTATTTCACATATCTGGTCATTATTTGCAGCAGCACCTTCAGATCAGCGTATACTGATACTTAAAGGTCTAATATCCACTTGCTGTATGCCACAATTATCATTTCTATTTAATGCAACACAACCCTTACTCCGCATTGATTTTGTATCAGTCTTTCCAAAAGAGATAACGTTGGCGATATTCTCACACTTGGATGCGAAATCGCTATGTCACGCAGCACAAGTATCAACCAAATGGAAAGAAATTGCAGATGACGATCAACTGTGGCATCGTATGTGTGAACAACATATTGATAAAAAGTGTGAGAAATGTGGATGGGGATTACCTTTATTAGATAAAAAGACAAGATCTGCTTATAAACGGAAAAGAATGATGAATGACACTAGCACGACATCACCTATTCAGATTGCATGTGGTCCTGCACTTACGATTGGCTCACCTCAGGATAGCTGTAATATCAAAAGGCAGCGAATTGAAACAGTAAAAACATCACCTTTCATTTCATCACCACCACGTAGAAGACCTTGGAAAGATGTCTATAGTGAGCGCTTAATAGTTGAAAGAAATTGGCGGAATAATAACCATAGCCTTCTCACTCTCAATGGACACACAGATGGCGTAATGTGTGTTCAATTTTGTGAAATTGCAAAATTAGTCATTACTGGCTCACTCGATAAAACCGTACGAGTATGGCATCTAGAGACAGGCGAGCTTATTAAGACACTTACAGGCCATTCACGTGGAGTGAGAGCCCTTCAATTTGATGATGCCAAGCTTGTGACGGGTGCGATGGACAATACACTCAAGATTTGGAATTATCATACCGGTCAGTGTATCCGAACCCTCGAGGGCCACACAGGCGGCGTCCTCAGCCTGCACTTTGACTCTCGTATTTTGGCGAGCGGATCTACAGATCACACTATCCGCGTTTGGAACTTTGATATTGGAGAATGCTGTACGCTCGTCGGCCATTCTGAGTGGGTCAACTCCGTTCGAATATGCCAACAGGGTCAAATGCTTATTTCAAGTAGCGACGATGCTACCATTCGCCTATGGGATCTACACTCTCGTTCATGTATACAAGTCTATCGAGGACACGTCGGACAGGTACAGGTTGCCTTGCCTAGTCCACATGGATTTAGACATCGATTAAAGAGTAACACATCATTGCCTGAGCGCAGTACAGAACAACAACAGCAACAACAAGTATCTGTTCAAAGAACGAGTTGTTCGAATACAGAAGTCATACGCCCAACTCCTGCAACATACCCTAATAACGCTGAGCCCTTTAAGCCTTCACAGTCAACTGCGTCTGACGTACCCATCATCATATCCAGCTCACTTGACAATACCATCAAGATTTGGGATCTACATAGTGGTCAATGCCTCCGTACGTTGTTTGGTCATATCCAAGGTATTTGGGGGCTTGACTTTGATAAGCTTCACATCGTCTCTGGTTCCCATGACAAAACATTACGTATCTGGGATACAGAAACGGGTCGTTGTCTTTATGCACTCGAAGGACATAGTTCCCCAGTGACGGCTGTTGCGTTGAGTGATACAAAAATTATCTCTGCCGCTGATAATGGAGAAATAAAAATCTGGGACTTTGGTAGAATACAAAAATGATAATAAAAAATAACAAATGACGCGATTTAAGTGCTGTATTATCGAATTTAAGATATTACGACATTTTTTGTAAAACACAAGCCATTACTTTGCTTCCCCCTTTCGACCACACATCCTTCATGCACGCCCCCTTTTCCTTCTTTTTTTTTTTGGTAGACATAACAGGACAAAAGCATATATCATTCATTCGATGGGATGGTGAACAACAAACAACAAACAGATTGGTCTAGTCAATTCATGCTACCGACCTCACAACCTGAAAACTATTATGCAACCAACTATCCTCCCAATTCATCCTCATCATCGAAGCATATAGCCATCCTTTATGATGATGACGATCCATCTTCAGATATGATGTTGACTCATGGTACACATATATAGATATTTACCATCCTTTAACTTATTTTATCATTTTTACAAGAGACTGTCAATAGATACGCACCACACGTGACAATCAACCAGCAGTCAGTCGATCTCTACCCTTCTCAACATTCTAGCACCCTGAGCTCGCCCACTCCTTTCTATTTTCATGAGGAACAGCATCCTTCCACACAAAAGTATGAATCCATGTTCTTGGCTGAGAATAATAACAGTAGACCACCTGAAGTGACGAGTGTCAAGCAACACTTGGACGACTCATTTCTGATGCAACATAATCAACATATGGAACAACAACATATACATTCAAATAGTGAAGAAGGCAAAGAGGATGAGCCCGTCATTGGAGATGGCGCACGGAGTTATAGCAGTGTAGAGAGCTCGGGTAGCAGGAGGTCTCAGAAACTATCAAAAGAAGATAAACGAAAAAGAAATACCGCTGCATCGGCTCGTTTTCGTATCAAAAAGAAGATGAGGGAAAAGGCCCTCCAAAGTACTGCTTGTGAGATGACGGAAAAAGCAAAAAAAATGGAACAAAAAGTCCATGAACTCGAAAGAGAGATTAAATGGCTCAAGGCCTTGATTGTAGAAAAGGATGATGCTCGGTTAGAACAGCTCATAAAAGAAAGACCAGCTGCATCCATTGCTTTTCCTATGCCTTCGACATCGCAACAGTCACAGCAGCCCTCTGAAGACGAAGAGGATGAGAACAGTGATGAAAACTAAAAAACTAAAAAAAAAAAAAAGAATATGATTATATGATTCCCTTTTCTCTAAGAATATGCTTATTATGCCCCCTTCTCTTTTATATGAAATCTAATAAACTATGTGTTTTTATTAATGGTATAAATTATGCAGACATTCTTTCCAACACATTGGTTGCCAAGTGTGCACCAATATCTAACAAAATCTGAAATAAGAAACGGGGAGCGAATATCTTCCAGGTCATTAAATGCCGTCTTAAAATAAATACAAATATAGCACACAGAAAAGTCGGGACAGCTTGCATGAGTATCAAAAGAAAGAGAGATTGCTTGATATCCCGTTTGGATGCTTCCTTTGACAAGAGAACGAGCCAACCTATCCAAGAGATGATATACCCTGCCAAAGTCGAAAGTGTCACCAAGACCATACCACCATAGTAATTCATGTCATCAAATCCTACAAATGCTGCCTTCCATGGTAGAGAAGTAAACGTCGCTTGGTGACCTGTGACAAAGAAGAGGTGATGTCCAAAGAACTGCAAGAGAGTCAATCTTAGTAACAAGCTTGTTTGATCACCATTAAATAATAGACGGACTACCCAAGGAGAAAGAAGAATGATCAAGCTTGCGAGCGGTCGTTGGAGCATGGCCAGCATCGTACTCCATATGAACAGTAATACCCAGCCTTGTTGCGGCTTGCTGTAACAAGATCTTTGATGAACCACATAGGCAGAGATGAATACACACAGAGCATAGACAAGACGTGGCAAGTAAACATCGAGTATCTTTCGAACCACCACTGGAACCATCATCCAGCCAGTAGCAGTTTCCGTTGAACTCTGATGAATCTCGACAATCATTCTGATAGCCACAATCATACCACACAACTGATAGACGCTATGTGGTATCCTGTCTTTGCCTACACTACGCTTCAGCAGTAGAGACGAGTAAAATAGGACAAGAATGACTGTGACAATAAAACTGATTGAGACAAGGGTTGCCGAGTAACTGTCATATGATAAAAAGTCGTGATGAAGGTATTGACAGTATGGGAACTGTTCTTCGCGGCATTGACCTGTCGCACTTGTCAATCGTACGACGGTCAGAAACAACAATGGTTCTTTTGCTGCTTGGACAACCATAGCCAGATTGGGATCATGTCTTGTAGATAAACAGTTTCTGGTAAACCATAGAATCGACAGAGCAGACAACACATATCTTACACTCGCATCCTCCCAAACAACGTAGCTATTGGAGCCTAGAGTAAAGGACTGTGCAAGGCTAATAATAAATGTAAGGCCCCAATCCAAAGACAGTGGATTTGTCTTTAAGCAAGTTACTGAAGAGAAAAGACAGCATACATAGAACGAAAACAAAACACCTAGCCAATCTGTATAGCTCATCTTCTCAAACCATCCATGCTGCCATAACGTTATGGTGAAGGGCTGAAGCGCAAACAAGACAGGAACCATAAATAGAGTAGAATAGAGCAAACGGTTGCGTGTGATCTCAATGTTCATAGACAGCATGGATACAATAACAGAGAGCCCCAAGAGGGCTATTCCCAATAGCATGGATCCTGCATCAAACTGGGCCCAGATCGATTCACAGTATTGAATTGTGCCAATCAAGAACGCATCATATTCAAACAGCGCCTGTTCAATCAAGTTTACAAATTGCTCTTGCTGGTTCTCAGACAAAAGGGTGATATTGTCAAGGCATGTCATGAATGATGCCTGCGATACAAGTTCAAACATGATATTATCAGCGTCGTATAAATGCTTGAGGATAGGTCCTAATTGTGTAGTTGAAAAATCCGGTTGCTTCGTTTGCTGAGAGTAATGGATGATGTAATCATATACTTGTAGAGCATTGATTCGAAACTGTCCAACAATATGAAGTAGATTGTATATCTTATTGTCTGATGGTTTGTCAGGTAGCAATAGGTCAGGTATGATAGCACCAAGGTTTCCAAAGGGTATAGGGACTTGTAAAAGGTACGATAGTGTAGGCACGAGATTCACTTGAGCTACAACAGGATAGCTTGATGCATCGTACCGTAACCTTTTCGAAATAGCCTCTATGTCATATCCTAGCTTATTTACTCGGGCATCATGAACACGTTCGAAAAGATGTCGGTAGTACGTATTTTCCTGTGGCTCAGGATGTGAGCCTAAACCCAATGGTCTTCCAGAATGAATAAACAAAGTACTCATGAGCTCTTCCAAGCTTTCTCCCCCGTGATCTCCCTCGGGAGACATGCCATGGTCGCCCATGAGGATAAACAAGGTATTGTTATCGACTTGACCCAAAATCCTTTCAATCACCGTGTTCATCTGGTCGAGTTTTCTTGCCATGTTGGGGTGAGACGGACCATAGGTATGTCCACAATGGTCGACCCCTAAAAAGTGAGCGATCGCGAGTTCCCAATTATCACTGTCCATCAGGGGCCAAAGGTGAGACAAGATCGAATCGTCCACTGAATCGAGGTCAAGCATCTTGAAGCTGTCGCTGTCAAATGTACGGTCGGGTTGATCAAAGACATCCGGATACAAGTGGACCCAGGTATCGTCTCCCATAAAGTAAATATTATTGTAGCGCTGTTTGACGTGATGCAAAAGGTGATCCTCTTGTACCTCAGATGAAGCAAAATTAGAACCGACATCGATAAAAGTAGGCAATGATCCTGTCATCAACCCCTTGATGCGCTGCATCGTCGTCGTAGGTGGATCAGCACGGAATTGAAATAAAAGCGACGACTGAGGTTGAGTATCCAAGAGTCGTTGAATCACAGGGAGCTTGTTGAGGTAATGATCCGTGTGGCTGCTATGTACTGAAAAATCAAAGCGTAATGCGTCAATGACGATGATGATGGTTCGATTAAATGCATATCCAGATGGAATAGAAGGAAGCACGGTCGGTGATGAGGCAGATGAGAGAGGGAAACGGTCCCAGGAGGTACGTGAATGTCCACGTATATTCAATGTCTGTCGTGTTAAAAGAAATCCCTTCAGATAAATGTATACTCCAAACGCTTGAAGACAAGTCAGGATTGCCAACACTGTCCCAAGCGACGGCTGAAGGGGAAATCGCATGAAGGAGAAAAACAAATGACAGACCGCAAGCGCTGGGTTGTGTGTAATGTGTGTGGCTAAAATTTTGCAGTCACGTTTACACCTTTCAGTGATTTTTGTTTTCTTCAAACGAAAAAAAAAAAAAAAAAACTCTTCTTTTGAACACAACATACAAAAAGCGAGCATCATCACATCATAATGGATTCAGGTCACAGCAACGAAGCAACTAGATTATGGAGAGTTTTTCGTACTGCGCATCAAATGGTTCATGATAGAGTAAAATAAGATTAAATTAGCATCGAGAGAAAAAAAAAAAGAGGATTAAGTTATTATTATAGGGATACTTAGTCTCTCAATCAGAACTTGATATGGATTTGGAGTCATTTAAGCGTACATTTGCTCCTTCTGGTGATGTTGAGTAAGTATTGATTTTACTACACACACGCGCGTGTTTGTTTTACTAAAAAACATTCTCCCAGTCGAGATCAATTGACATTTGTAGTGCAAAAGAAGGACGATCCAACTGACCAACTGCTTGTCTTCTTTCCCAAAGATCCTTCAGTCGGTGTTAAACCTCTAAGAGTGTAAATTTAATTATGAATATACATTCATTTGTATACTTATACGCTATTAGTTACGTCGAACGTATGGCACAACAGCAAATTCCCAAGGGTATCTGTATTTATCAAAAGAGTATGACTTCCTCAGCAAATAAGGTATGATATACATAATGAATGAGAATGGTATGAAAACTAAACGAAATATAATAGGTCATCCAACAATTACCTTCAAAGCATACATTAGAATCTTTCCAAGAAAACGAGTTACTAGTCAATATTACACATCATGTATTGGTACCTAAGCATGAAGTATTGACACCAGAAGAAAAGGCTACTTTATTGCAGAGATAGTAAGTAATGTGCTTTAAGAAGAACGATTGATTAATTCTTTCATAGCCGTTTGAAAGAAACTCAATTGCCACGTATTCAGCATACGGATCCAGTCGCTAGATATTATGGCTTAAAGCGTGGACAGGTAATAATTCATAATAAAGAAAAAAGAAAGAAATACATAACACATTATGTAGGTTGTCAAAATTTTAAGAGAGAGTGAAACTGCCGGTCGATATGTCAGTTATAGATTATGTATTTAAATAACAACAGCAATAATAATTAAAAAAAAAAAGAAGTGGGTCATTTTTCATATAAAAACTCCTTATAAAAACTTTCTCCTTTTTATTATTATTATTACTATTATTATTTGTCAAATATACAACCATGAATTACCAGATCCATTATCATAAACACACATACAAAAAAATTAATCTGAGCGCTTCTTTCTTTTTCTTCCAGGATGTGGTGCACCATCGACAATACGTCTTACTAAAGGAAACGCGCCTTCAGAAGAAACGAGAACTTCTGTTGATTGTGGGTTATTATTATTGGTATTCAAAGTAGTATTTATCAGCTTACTTTGAACCATGTCAGCCATACAGTAGCCACCTAAATTTGCCTGCCAGAAATAGAAATCTTGTATGAACTGACCATTTCGATGAAGATCTTCTAGGTCATTTTGGTGTTTATGAGTCAATGGACGAAACTCTTCTTCTTTCATAACTCCCCATTCTGGATGTGTAAGTTTATCAAGCGTTGCTTGTTGCTTATCTTCCCATGACCTTGTACCATTCGTGTATAAACCAGGAAAGTCGTGAACCATAGAGCGTTGTTTGTATGTCGCTTTCTTTGGCATCCTTAAAGAATAATAAATAAAAAAGACAAGAAAAAGAGAGAGAGAAACAGACTGAAGAGAAGAGAGAGGTCCTTTTTAAGTTTATTTAAGATTAGGGGGGTGTGGAACATAATCTTTGTACATATTCTGACGATGTTTGTCAAAAAGGAAAGTGCGTCATTTACAGTTTTTAGCATCCTCCCCCCCCCCCTTTTTTTTCTACTTCTCTGTCTCGATCGCTCGCTCGTTCTCTCGCCCCCCCCCTATTTAAATATATGTACACACATATACACACAAAATAAAAATTAGGTGGCTCGTGCATTCACCAGATTGGATATAAAGTGAACTAGGCTCAAATAACCAAAGTTTTGTTGTTTAAGGGAAAAAAAGACGCGAAATAGGATAAAGAGTAACCAGAGTACACTGATGAACCAAATGACAGTTTTCCTTTTTGAACTCTTCTTCAAGTCATATCCCTTGGACCGCTTGGAAGTGGCTGCTGTCGTCTTTTTTGTACTGCCATCTTTAAGTTTCTGTGAATCATTACCAAATGTCATTTTTAATAATGACAGTCGTTTCTCTCGTTCATTCGCTGGTCGTTTTTCTGTTACAGAACTCGTTATTGCAGTAGGCAAGTGTCGCCTTTGCCGTGATGGTCGACTTCCCATGTAAAGATCTGCATTTTGCATTATAAGCAACCAAAAAAAAAATACAAAAAAAAATACAAAAAAAAAGGGCAAGAGAGGATCCACAAAACTCAGAACACATGTCAAGCATGAGTAGACGTGTGTAATAAACAAAAGAGTGATACGATTAATTACAGATGTTACACTCTTTCGCTCTAGTAAGGAACTCTCCGACGCATAAATCAAATAAAGATAGTTTATTGAAATGCATAGAAACGTAAAGTACTTTTTGTATATAAGCAAGAAAGAATAAAACGTAAGAAAGGAAGAAAAGCAAGGAAAACAATAGTTGGCATGGTAACAAAAGGTATAACGAAAAAGGAAGGTATAGATGTGTATATATACAACTGGATAAAGAGTAATACATAGAATAATACATAATTAAAACTTATTCAAGGCCTTGAGATTGTGTTTTGGTATACATGTAATAAAACATAGTTGATAATTGAAAAATCTTGAAGTATATGTGTATATCATATACACATCGTATTATTTAAGCAAGGGACAGATAGGTCTTTTGTGTCCATATTTTCCACACCAGGTGCTATAATTAGCTATAAGTGTCAATTCATTTTAGAAAAAGTTCTCCTTTACCATTGTCCGCCTTGTAGGTTCAAGGGTTTAATATCAAAAGCCATGCTAGTTGTGGCAATGCGTTTACGAGCAGTAGAATAAATGGTAATAGTAACAGGAGGCTGTGGATAATCGCACATTGATCTATTCTTTATTTTTTCCAAAGCAAGAAGTGTAGGGAAAAGGAAAGGGAAAGAAAAAAGACGAGGGTATTTATACATATTTTTGGCCCATGCTCCATAGTGTAGCCCTTTGTACATTAATCTAGAAGCAGGGAGAATACAGAAAAAGAAAGGAAAGGGCCTTTTTAGGCTAAAAATATACACTTTGTTTAGTGTTTTTGACATGAATTAAATGATTTAAAAACGGTCATGGGGTGGACCTTAGGGCAATTGACAGCTTTAACCTTTTCATTCAAGTACTGCACAAGGCTATTACAACTATACCTCTCTGTCCTTTCTCTTTCTTTCTTTTTTTACATCTTCTTACTAATGTATTCCCCGCCTCATCTTATTAACAAACAAAAAGCTCATGAACGAGACGAGTCTAGACGCTGTAAACAAGGTAAACATTTCCTCTTTCTTTTAGGATCCCACACCTCCTTATTCCCCTTTTTTTTTTCCTTTTTATGGAAAGACTATACATAGTGAAAACTAAATAAACGAGTACGAGGCAAGTTGATCTAAATATACAACAACAAAAACAGAGAACATCCCCTTCCTTGGTATTAACCTTAATTTATTTGTCGCTTTTAGTAAGTTTATCATATGGCGTATCGATAGGTTTGACAAGCTGATTTGCAACACAGGGCAACGATCATCTTATCATTTGTGGGGTCGGTGACATAGCCATCCTATAAGGATGCAAAGAATATACCCATCACCCATGCCACCATTATTATTGCCACTACTATAATCATCCTTTGAGTCATCAGACCTATATAGACTTTAACGCGCGTGTAGGTATAGGGTTAACAAAAAGGCATATTCCGCACATACACACACATATATAAACATGATGCATTATTTACCGTCTATCACCATCCTTTATCACTTACATAATGCATCTCATGATGACGTGCAGAAATATCCCTTATAGTGCGTACAAGCATCATTTAGTTTAAATGCTAATGTACAAAAAATCAGTCTATCCCATGAATCATTTCGAATCTATGGCATAAACTGTGCAGGAACGTTACAATGATGTAAACGAGAGTTATCTTTATTTTGTGTTATTAGAACTAAGATGTGTGTGCATATACAAATACAAAACAACGCCCAGTTGTCCAGTCCATACAACTATATTGCTCAAGGCTGACATCACCCTCATCAATATGATGTCCTTTCAAATAAGGAGTAAAAAAGAGAAAATAAGGGAACACGTTAGATCACGCTTTTCCCTTTTCATCACTCTCTCTCTCATGTACACACGCATACACACACATAAATTCACTCCTAAATATACATACTTTCCCTTTCCCTATTCTAGTGCTCAATCTGCCCAAAAATCAATAAAATTGCTGCAACATATAGAACTGTTTATTAGTCGAGAAAAAACTGACAATACTTGAGTTGCGCTTTTTTTATAATTGTTTTGTGTCATCCATGTCTTTGTTTATTGAACTAATTAAATGTTCAACTTGGTGTGACGCCAGTTACGTCTCTTGGCATTCCAACTAAAGCAATAGAGTTTAATGTCTATACACACACACTCAAACTTGACATTATAAATTTACCGAATCTTGGTGTCAGTCTTGAGACGGAACCAGTGAGGCAAAGGACGGTTTTGCTTCTTGGCCTTGCCGAGCTTAACCTTGGTGATGAATGACTTTTGAGAAGGCTACATACGAATATATATCAATCCATCCATTCCATCAATGTATTAAAAATTTACCATTTCGACAAGCGATGAATAAAAGAGAGGGGGGGTATTACCTATGCTCCTTGAACTCTCGCTTTTAGGACAGATGGCAAATGATGGTGTGTTCTGAAGAGGAAGACAAAGAGAGAGAGCTCCGGCTCGCAACAGAGGCGGTAAAATTAATTTCCGGCATATCATTTTATTAACAAAAATGGTTGACTAGACTCATCACTATAAAAAACAACAGTACTCTTACACGGGTATCATTTAATATTCTCTGAAATAAGCCGGGTTTCTGTCCTAGATCCGAGCTGCTCCAGATCTCTTCTTCGCCTGCTTCTTCTTCTGGTTTTGTATTGTCCAAAGAGGCTGTCTGAATCATGTTGGATGAGTCACCTTTGTTAGTAGGCAAAAGAGGCACTGCTTGGTATTTCCCTGAACTTGGTATATCCGGTTGGGCTTTAGCGCAAATCCATGTGGAAATTTCATGTGTGGTTTGACCAAGGCAATAACAAACAAAGATAAATAAACAACTTGAAAACGCCAAGTTAATCCACCAGCCAATGCCGTGTATCCAAGTAGGATTGATCAAGAGAACAAGTAACCCCTTCGTATCTGCAGCTAACCACATGTGAAATTGTCCAATAAACGTTTCAAGAGATATTTTGCCAATAAATGAGTAAAATTCGGAATGCGTGTTTCTCAAGTATGTGCTGGCATTGCGAAGTACAACAAAGCCAAGAATGGGAATCCATGAGATATACGGATGTACTTTGTTGTACGCAAATTTATCCTCGCGACTTAGTTCAAACCAAAAGTACCATACAAGTGCTATCACAGATAATCCGAGGGCTGCCTTCTTCATGATGGGCCATTTAGGGTGTTCTGTAAGTTTGTGTTCTGTCATTTTGATATATGCATAAGCACACAGCATACCAACATAAACAATATAGGCATCTAATGCTAATCGAAAACGCCATTCAACAGGATTCCAGTGAATGTTGAAAGTAACCTGCAGTATGTCAAATACAAATTCCAAGATTCCAGGAGCCTTGATAAAAGCCGTCGTCAGGATGCATGACACTGCCAACTTGGCAAGTAAAAAGGATGGAGTCTTGTTCCATTGATTTCCAATGTACATCATGGCCCATATGACAAAAAACCAGAAAGATACTAAAGGAGTAAAGTAGTAACTTAGGTAATCCGTATCCATCAAGTATTGAAGCACAAACGTCAGCAAATTCAATCGGACCATCACGTTCAAGATGCGGCCAATGCCGAAATCTGCCTTTTTGTAAAAGAAAAAAAAGTGGCCATAGCCGGTTTGGAACAAGTAAGCAGCCACCAGGATACGCACTGCGTTGTAGATACCTGATGTTCCAGATGCACCACAAAAATGATAAACCAGGATGATGACCTGCATCCAGCCTTTCCATTCGTCTGTCTGATGGCGATTAAGGAATCCTTGATCTCCTTCCGTCTTGTGCTTCAATTTAATGATTCCTAAAACACCAACCACCATCATTAGGGCAGTAAATACAGCTGCATCAAAATGTTTTTGGATTTTCCCAAACAGCTGTGTTCGATCACAGAAATACATGTAAACTGTACAAAGGCCAAACAGAAACAGTGCACTTGAAACCTTTTGTTCTGGAAAGGGCCTTTGAATTGCGCTTAATGTAATGCCTATATATATATATCAATTAGTATACGCTGCAATTGACTATTGGTCATGTTACCTGAATGAGTGAGAATAAGACATCCAATAGGTATCCAAATAAAGAAGAAAAAGAACAAGATGCTTTGGTACCACTTGGGAACTGGATACTGGTAGCAACATGTTGTTGTCATCGGGAACTTCTTGTCAAGCTGATTATTGCATCTGAAATTAAGCGCTATCTGGGCTCGTACGGTCGTCACTGCTGGGCTGAAATGAAGTCCATCTTGGGTATGGCTGGAGGAAGTCAGACTGATGTCATTCCACACAAAAGGAATAGCAAAAGGTACTCTATTGTTCACTGCATCCTGCTTTGTCTTCAAGTAATCATTCATAGCATTGACCTTTTCAACAGTCATCTTTGCAGCCCGTTCTTCCCCTAGTTTGTCATAGACTGGTACTTCAACCGGCGCAAGCAATACAGTATCTGCGATATCTCTAGACTCGACTGACTCTAATACCCGATCTATGCTCGATTTCCATTCCTCATAATAATCGTCATCTTGCAAGTATCTCATCTGCCATAGGCCTGTTCCTAAAACAAGCAGGCTAGGTCGAGGTGTATGTGAACCACGCAAGATATTTGTCGTCTCGTTCAAGTATGGGTCCCACCAGAATTCATATACCAAATTTTCTTTATTAAAGTCGTACATTTTGTTTGTATGAGGCTCCCCGGTTGTATTGACATGAGGGTCGATGAGCTTTACTGCAGAAAAGAACTGTTCCCTGATGACGGAATCGCCCACATAAACAATGCGAGAGTGATTCAGACAGGCCGAGATTTCTGGTGGTTGGTATGTGTGCATCATACAACTGGCCGGCTGCCATGACTTTAAAGTGTCATCAGTCCACCAGCCTTCATTCAACATGCTGTGGCATCTATTCTGATCCTTTGGTTCTATTTTTAATATATTTTAGTACCTAAAAAAATTAAACCAAGCCCCTCGTGAATACCATAAATGTATCTTGCAACAGCTAGTAAAAATAAAAATATGAAGGAAAGTATAAAACTTGATTTTATATATTTTGTTAAACTAGACTCTGTTGAAGCCCCCATTTCCATGGAAACAAAGAAAGACAGAAATAAAAAGGAACAATTAGATTTCATGTAGATCATTTCTATTTTTGGGCTCCGTTAGAAATTACAGATGTTCTCTGCCATGTTGAGGGTGCGAGTAGGAATAGGGTGAGCACAGCTTTATGACAATCCTGTATATTGTTTTTCCTCTTCCAAGTTTGTGGACTATATACTTTTAGTTATGAGATGACAAATGAGTAGAATGGAATTTCAGGCTTTGATAAAGCAACTCTATATAAGTGCCTATAAATAATAAAAGTTAAATCAATATGTTTGTTTTTTGGTGGAAGAACTTTTGATTTTCTAGGTTACATTAATAGAACAAGATGACGATAGATCCCGACCGAATTTTCCATGTTTACCTTTAGTTTTACAGTGAGATAACAAATCGGGCTTATTAACAAGACTAATATAAACATAAAAGAGGTTAGGTTTGAGGAGCAATAGTGATATCAACTGCTTGAACTCGCGTAAGTAATCAATTCAAAAAAAAAAAAATAGTAAACACACAAGCACACAAATAATGATAAGGTTAAGGGATGGATCGATTCTTTACTCTTTAGAGCAACTTTTTTATTATCATTTAGAACGCGTGTAGTTACAAAATGAAAATGATGGCAATAAATTCAACAGAAAAATGAATCGGATATACAATTCTAATTTGTGTAAAGGGATATGCATTTTGAAGGAACAGTGGTTGCTGCTGTGGAACGTGTTCCCAAGAAGGAAATTTGAGATCGACGAGAGGTACCCAAGCTGGCTGGCATTGAATGATTGCTGTAGCATAAATGCATCAGAAGGATTTAAGGAATCCAAATTTCAGAATGATGCAAACTTTTAGGATTTGAAGTTTTAAAGCACTTATTCAACCTTTGCAACAGAGTGGTTTTCATCAAACAATCATCTCCCAAAGTAAGGAAGAATGTAATTCTAGGGCCACTTGAAAGCCACATCACGTCTACAAAGGACACTGTTATGCTTATAGCGATAGCATAGGCTGATATAGAGTTTTTCTTTGAAATATCTACAGAAAACCACCACCCCACAGACTGAAACAGCTCAGGAATATTATAATTCCTACAATAACCATCTTGATAGTTAAGGGAGAACCTTTAATTATGGCGCAGCCAATAACTTTATTTATATTTAGACTCAGAACAAAGCTCATGCGCAACTATTACTCATTCAAAAAACAAAGAATTAATAAATTGCATTTTCCTTAACACTATTGCCTTAACTTTTTTTTCCTTTATATCAGAAATTATCAATAATATCATCCAATGGCGAATGACTTGCCTCAATCACATAGCTCACTTTTACTCAACTGTTGTGTTTATGGTACACTACCCCCAGAAGCTGATAGTGAAGGGAATATAGAATACAAGGTGCTTTTGAATATAAAATACAATTGTAAAAGAGAGTGGGAGACTTATTCTTTTACCAGCTTAAATTAGTCAACCCATCTGTTGAACGCCTAGAACACTTGGTGACTCAAATGAAGTGGAGGCAAGTCAAAAATGTATAATAATGTCAAAAAAAAAGGGGGAAAACTTATTCTACTATAGATTAGCGGAAGGAAATGGGGTAGCCATTTATGAAATAGGCATAGACGATGATGGAACAATCAAAGGTATGGAAAAAAGGAAAAGGACTCACTCAAAAACTTACAAAAAAAAGGTCTTAGTCAAGATGAATTAAACTGCTCCATAAACAATCTTCGTAAAATGGCCAACTCCTTAAATGCTGATATTAGCTCCACTCAAGAAATCAGCTTGAGCCAACTAGATTTGAAGAACCCTCAAGCTGGCAAATCAAAAAATCATAAAGTAGCAGAAGTTGTAATAAGAAAGAAACTTACAGATGAGGATGATGGACAGCATTTTACAGACCTACGGATAGTCCTGGTAGGTGCATTGGGCGCAGGCAAATCAACATTAATAGGCCACATCTGTCATGGTGCCAAAGACAATGGACAGGGGAAGGCAAGGTTAAATTCAATGCGACATCGACATGAATTGGAGTCCGGCAGAAGTTCTTCTATCTCACATGAGATCATTGGATATGATGCAGAAGGCAAGCTTATCAACTACGCCACAACCAATATCAATACTTGGGAACAAATTTGTGAATCAAGCCATAAGATAGTGACCTTCTTGGATACATGTGGATATCCAAAATACTTTCGTACAACCATGTCAGGCCTTATGGGCTACGCCCCAGACTATGCATGTTTGGTCATTGCGGGTAATGCAGGTACCGTGACAGGTATGACAAAGGAACACCTCTCCATTGCCGTGATGTTGGATATACCCGTATTTGTTGTGATCACAAAGGCTGATACCGCCACTCAAGCACAGCTCACAAATACTCTATGCTCACTCTTATCCGTCTTGAAGTCACCGTGGATGAGCAAGGTGCCGGTGGTGATACAGGGCGAAAATGACTTGGCCACATGTACATCGCAGTTCTCTCGTAGAGGGCCTGAATTACCTATATTTATGGTGTCAAATGTCACTGGTGCCAATATGGATTTACTATTAAAATTCATACATCACCTGCCGCAGCCAGCAAGGATGGGATATGATGAATTATTAGAAGAATCAATAGAATTTCAAATAGAAGAAGTGTATAATATACCAGGTAAGTCTTTTAAAAATGTATAGTATACAGCTCACTCATGTACCTTGTGTAGATGTTGGCATTGTAGTGGGAGGAGTACTTGCTCAGGGACGAATCAATGTAGGAGAAAATAAGCAATACAGTCTTGGCCCGAATTCAAAGGGAGAATTCATAAAAGTAAAAGTGACGTCCATTCATCGACATCGGATACCTGCACGTTATGTTCACTGCGGGCAGGCAGCGACCCTTGCTCTAGAAGCTGTTGATGGCGACATATGGAAACTACATAAAGGAATGGTCTTACTGGACACGGACGATCCGCAGAGTTTTTTTGAATTCGAAGCAGAAATTATGGTTCTTTACCATGCAATTAGTGTTTCTGCAGGCACTCATGGTATGATCCATTCAGGGTCTATTCAACAGCATGCTAGGGTGATATCTATAGAGAATTTGAGTGTTCGACGCATTGAAACTATGGACATGAAAGATGATCAGACACTGTCACCGTCCACGAATGGTTCTTCTATTCCTTCAGGATATCAAGGACGATGCACTTTTAGATTTATACACGAGCCGTGCTATCTTCGAATAGGCTCTCGTGTGTTATTTATGGAGGGGACATCAAAGTGTATAGGAAAAGTCACTCGCTTGATACGCCATAGACCAAACTCTACTTCATAATAAAGCATAACATGCGCCTAGTATAATAACTATCTACCGCGCAATCCTTTTGTTCGTCTCAGACGCAGAGTTGTCAACGTAAATGGATGATAGTATTATTTTCGTCTTTCTTTCTTTTTGTACAAAAAAAATCATGGAGGTATCCACTCCTAACAGCCTTGTATGGATACTACCTGCTTCTGAAGCAGACATAAAGTCCTCGACCTATTATACAGCTAGAGAGGAGAGCAATAGGCTTTCATTAAAAAGTAAACAAAATAATTAATGCTATGCTATGTTAACCTAGACCACTTTCAAGATAGCCACAACATGACTGAGTATCATCTTATAATAGGGCCCCTCCTTTGCGTATTTGATCTTTTGATATTATTTTAATCTATAGACACACATGGTCCATAAACAAGTGTGTATTATCAACAGAAAGCAATATCTTTTCAGAATATGAAGATTTAGTTACTTCCTTTATTAACGGTAAGCTACTCATGATTAAGAAATGTCCTAACATAAAGAATAGGATATGATGTAGGCTTGCTATTTCTGAGTGTAGGGTAAGTAAATTTTTCTAGTTGTCATCTTTTATCTCACGTTCCATTAAAGGGCTGAGGTTTCTGCACTACTTAGAAGGTAAAGATGAGCTGCCATTGTATATCTTGCTAATTGCACTTTTTTTTGTCACTGTTAGACATCGAGACTTTAAGTATATCCTAAGCCTTTTAGAAAAAGGACTGGAAACAGATGCAACTGTAGAATATGTCTATTTAGGTGTGACAGATGAATACTGCTATGATTTACGAGATAACACACATTATTCAAGTAAAAACAAAAACAAAAACAATAAGAGGTTGTCCAAAAATTCAACGTGAAAACAACAATAGATTCCGATGTCTTGAACAATGGAGTGGACAGTTTGATGACAAAGACGCAAAGAATAGCTGATATATGGAGATTGATCAAAATAGGTTCAATATACCCCTTTGTTTTGAAAATTAGGATAACGCTCAAAGAAAGAAAAAGACAGCAAAGCTTTACCATAGTAGATCTGAAGCATCCAAGGTTTCTCTCTATCACTCCAAAGATTGAGAGTTCACCCAACATTTACTATTCATTTGCTAAACTTCGTAAATATTAAATATGATTTCTCAACATTGACTTATATATTTGTATAGGAGATTCTATTGATCTGATAGCCTCTTTTGAATTCAATGGCCATGTCCCAACGGATAGCTATGTCCTTACTGACATTCTTTCTGACTTCTTGGGGGGACTAGTAAAATTTCATGTGGTGTCTCTAATTAATGTATAACTAAATAAAACAATCAGGGAGATCTGGCACTGACTCTGTATGTATCAGGAACGTCCAGGTGTTTATCTTGAAGAAATGAAAATGTGCTTGGATTTTGTGGAACAGATCAAGTATATCAGATGTGTTGCTCTCCGAAGCGGCATTGTTACTCATGTAAGCATATCTTGTTTTTAACATGTCGTTTATTAGCTAACTTGTTAAAGACGTCCCAAAGACATGACTTGATTATGAACGTAAGCCTTCAAACAGAAGAGACTATTGTCGCTATCTTTTATAAAAAACAAACAAACTAGTACATATCTGCAAAGCAAGCACAGATTGATTATTTGAAAAAGACACAAATACTGTCAAATATGGAAAAAGAAGATAAAACCGTTAGGTTACAAGCCGACATTTGTATTTTTTTTTTTTTTTTTAGGATTTATATTTAAATACCTAATAAATAGTTATAATGTAGATTATTTGATGGTATTCACCATAACATTAAACGTGTTTCATACGATGAATGCATAAAAGAACTCAATTTTTTTATTTTTTTACCAAACAGTTTACCTAACCATCAGATTATATAGTGTCATTGCAAATAAAGCATGCGTTTAAGGAACAAATGTATGAAGAGCAATTATGCTTATTGGCTGTTGGTTTTGTATAAGGAGCTTTATTTACAACTAGAATTAACTTTTATAAAGTCAAATATAGAAGCATTAAATGAAAAATACAGCCAGAAATTAAAAGAGTTTGAGGATCAAGCAAATGAAGAAACGGTTAATGCAAAAAAGAGACAACATAATGTAAATAAGAAGCCATAGTGTTATAATCGAACTAATAAATTACCGCAGGATAGTTTAATCCAAACTTATGTGGATACAATAAATATCCTAAAAGACAAGATCATATCTCTCCAGGAAGAAGGTGTCAGGCAAGAGGTAGGGCTGACCTATTACTTGCTGAACGTAGAAGAAAACTGACGACTATCATAGTCTAACTTGGAGAAAGAGATTAAAGCGACAAGGGCAGAACGTAAAAACGTGAGGGCGCTTGTTGATCAGTTAATCCAAGAGCATATTGACAAAGACACTGGCATTATTCAATAGTCGATGTAGTAATAATAAGAATAATTCTCTCATAAAAAAGCATTTCTTTATTCATTCTTTTTTGTTTTTTCTTGTTTTTACAGTAATTGAGAAACTTCTTGGAATAAAGTTTTTACAGTGCCTGGCAGCTCTCTTTCCACCGAAATCAATGATTTTTGCAAAGATTCCATAGCCGCTAAACTCTTGTGATTTTTACAGTTCTTTTGGAGCTAAAATCATACAGTTAATATAAGCTACAGTCATATTATATATATAATTACCTTATCAAGTATAGGCAGTATCGTTTCCAAAATCTGGGTATCGCCATTATTCGTCTTTACGGAAGCAATGGTGCTAATACTTCTGGATGACATAGATTTACTTGGTAATTGAGGAAGCGGGTTAAAATTCATTGCCTTTTGTATCAAACTAGTTCTGTTGGATGCTCGATTATTTGCTGAGCTGTCGGCGGCTCTGACTGTATTTTGACTTGTATCGTCAAATTCGCCTATGCTGCGCCGGGCGTCTGTGTATGACGATTTAGCCTATTTAATTAATGTAAGCCCTTTCACTGAAGCTTCTCAAAATGCATTCTTAACCGGGGAGCCGCTCAACTTACCATAAGCATACTGACCCTTGACGCAGGATGTGGGGATGAAGATTGTGGGCTGGACTGGCCTTTGGTCGTTGTTCGAGGTAACTGCTGCATAGAGGGTGATGATGGTACACCATTAAGATGGGTGATAGAGTACTGACTTGGTGATGTTTGCATTTGTGGAGCTGCAGGCTTTGGTAGCGGACTTGCTGCTGCCTTGACTGTTCCAAAATCCCAGCCGTCGTCATCTTCCACATCGACCCTGGTAGAGAAAAAATGTATACATGTCAAGTACTATCGCGCCAATGCAAACATACAAAGTACTTACTGAGTTTCTTCATCTGAAGATTCGTTATCACGGCCGTTTATGCTTAGCCAGCGTTCATGTCCTTCGATTAGTTCTGTAAGGTAGGCTATCTTCTTGCTACTCTTTATAAATTTGTGCTTCAAGAGCTCTTTGGCTGTAGGTCTCTGTAAAGGCAGAAAATGAGTGACATGACCTGCATATAAAATGATTCACCTTACGTTAGCTGGACTAGTTTGTAAGCATAAGCTGACAAAATCTCGGAAAGCTTTGCTATGTGGAGGGCCAAGTTGAGGGGGATCATTTTTGGGTATATGGAAGAGTACTTTCATCGGATGCATTTTTGCATAAGGTGGTTCGCCGTTGGCAAGTTCTATAGCTGTGATACCAAGAGACCAAATATCAGCCTTGAAATCGTAGCCTGATTGCTTTATGACTTCAGGTGCCATCCAAAACTGAAAAAGAGATGTTATTATCCTTATGAAATCAGTAAGAATTTAAGCAACTTACAGGAGTTCCAACAAATGTGTTCTTTTTGGTCAATGTTGCTGTTATCTAAAAGGGTTGGTTAGAAGTGTTTTCACATTACCATATTTGTAATAATAAACAATTCTTTTTACCTGCCCCGATACACCAAAGTCAGCTAATTTTACTTCACCGTTTGCGCTTAGCAAGATATTTGCAGCTTTGAAAAGATGTAAATAGCCATGAATTACATGTATATACACACATTACCTTTAATATCTCTATGCAGCTTTCCTTCGTTATGAAGATAATCTAACCCCTTCAACAATTCCTTCAAGATGATAGCAATGTATTCTTCACGTATTGTTCCCATTTTCATCTATATAACCCCACAAGGGAGATGTGTGTGAGAGCTCGACCATTTCTTTTATTCATGTATATACATACCAGGTCACTGCATGATCCTCCCGCACAGTATTCCATGATAATCCATAACCCTGTACCTTTCAAGTATGAACCATAGTACCTAAATAAAAGGAGTTTTGCCTTAGCGAAAAATAGGGATTACAAATCATTCAGTCGCTTGATCCTTACTTTGTGACATAGGGTGAATCCAACTGGGACAAGATGGCTATCTCTTGTTGAATGTCATCTATTTCATCCTCTGCACTTTCAAGATCAATGACTTTTATAGCAACTGGTTTATTCGTTCTCTTGTCAATGCTAAAATACAAAGTTAAAACTGTGGTCTATATCGTTTGGCTTGTGCCTTACCCTTTATATACTTCACCAAACGAGCCCTTGCCTAAAAGAAATAAGTATATATCGTCCTTTTTTCTTTCCTTGCGTACCTATGCGTTCTTGCTTTATATAATAAAGCTCTGGGTCTGTAGCAGCATGATTCTAAGTATAAAACGATCAATGTCAAAGTTATCTTTAAAACCTTTATTATTTACCATTTTTGACGGTAAAACAAAAAGTAAGAAAAAAAAAACAAGATAAACAAAAAGAAGAAAGAAAAATGACGAAGGAAAAAAAAGGAGAAGAAGAAAAAAGGACATCTTCATAACCAAATATGGATAGCAAGTAAACACAAGTTGTGTAACATGACGGATTCCCTAAAACAATAAACTTGCTGCCAAATCCGGGTTTCCTCCTGCCATTTCCAACGCATGAATAGCTTCCTGACGGCTCACTCCCATATCTGTAAGTAGTTTAATATCCTTTTCTGAGAATTTGCTTTGTGTATTAGATGATGACGACGGTACACCGGCTGATGATGCTCCTGCTGCTTCTGCAGCTGCAGGTATAGCCACTTTAGGGTCAGCGGGAGGTATCTCATCTTCATCGCTACCATGAATCTATTATATGGTTAGCATACATACACTTTATAGAAAACCACAAAAACTTGCCTCTATCCTACGCTGCTTCTCCGGGAGCTCATGTTCTGCTAAAAATGGAATATCACAATCGTCAAAGGTCAATGCATTTTTACGCAGATCGATGCATGCCCTATGTTTCTTTAACATATCAAGCCCAAAGAGCAATTCTGAACCCTTTCCTTCTACCACAATAAATGAGCAAGTCAAAAAGAAGTTTTTGGAAAGCCTCATCTGTGCACTATGAATACGACCCAGGATTTTTGCCGTTCCAACACCTTTAGCAACTCCACTGAAACGGGTATCTAATAGACGCATAAGTCCACATGCTTCTGCTGTTTCTGGACTAACTAGAGACAAGATGTCAGTCACCTTTTTTTTTTTTTTGCTGTTGTAGATACTTACTCACGGTGCTCTGAGCTCCCGAGTCAACAAGAGCAACCAATTTCTTATTGTTGATTTCTACATTAATATAAAGACGTGTCACTCTTGTGAATGACTCTGGGTTATATTCCATAGCTGCTTCCAAGTTGGCTGCTATATTTTCCTGACGGATAGCCTCTTCAATGCGCTTCTGTGCTTCGATATCAAAAGGGTCATTGTTAAGAGCTGCTAATTGTGCTTTTTGAATTTCTGCCGCACGACGAGATTGTTCAATCTGTTCGACCATGGTTGAGAATTTTGCAGGATCATGACGTGCTGCATGCGCTAATTCGGGATTTGTCTATTTGATGCTATTAATAATATGGATAGAAAAAAAAAAAGACGCGCAATGCATTACCCTTTCTAGTTGTTGTAAAAGTCGTTGATCTTGAAGGACATGTTGACGCATAGCATCAAAGTCAGGATGACTATTATGCAATTAGTCTCCTTATTTTTTTTTCTTTTTTTTGCTTTTACCTTGGCGCTGCTTGTTGAATTCGTTGCATGTGTATCATTTCGTTTTGTCCAACTTGATACTCTTCTAATGTCTTTTTAAGTTCTGATAATTCTTTTCCATGATAAAATAAACGCTGCATATCAGGTGGAACTCCTGACTAGTATATGCGTGAGTCATGATGTGAATGAAAAGAAAAAAAAAAGGTTTACCTCTGCCTCTAAAAGTGCCTTTAGATCTTCAATAGCCATTTGACTATCAATTTCCAAGTTGTAAATGTCTTCTCCATCTGTTGTAATAGTCACAAACATATCACGCGTGTTTAAAAGTGTAATTAGAAAAAAAAAGAAAAGAAAAGAAAGGACACAGTCGTTTATCGAGCGGACGCCCATTTGTGTAACTCTACTTGCCCTAAGCATGAAATAAATGATAGTTCAATATCAAAGCCTATTGTTGTGTCATGTCCTATAAAAAAAAAGCCCTTGGATAGTAAACAAAAGGTACTTTATTTATCATTGGCTTTACTGAATAAACCTATTCTATCCACTAATGTCTTGATATAAAGACAAAGAAAAAAGGGGGTAATATCTTTGGTAAATAAAGAAAATATCTGTTTTATTAGATGATGTCGATTTCCTTGTATCCGCTTATTCAATATTGATATAAACCAGTTGTAGCCTTTATTCTTTTTGTCACGTTTCTAGCAAGTGCTCACAGTTGTTAGCAGATGCTTAAATTCGATGATTGAGGTCCTCTTGGACTTGTTCTGGTGTGCCAGGATGGCGTATCTCAGTAATTACATTAGGTATCCTGCGACAAAAGATATCGCACGATATGAGCTCGCTACAATCAAAGCGCCGTAGCAATAATGCCGAAAATAAATGGTTGACTTTTATTGGAGCTATTAATTTGGGGTACAATAAACATTTCTTACCGTGAATTACTGAAACGTCTTGAGAATTTTTTATTTGTGTTTCTGAAAAAAAAGAAAAATAAATAAAGAAAAAAAGCAAAGGAAATACTTTATATGCATTATTTCTTTAAATGTTGTCGTGAGCTTAGATAAATAACTCAGAGCAATTTAAAGAGGTTTGTATCTTTATTGAAAAAGCTCAAGCTTAAAAAGAAATATCTTGCAAGTGTAACCAGAAAAAGAAGAAAACACGAGAAGTCACAGTTCACGTAGATCACTCATATTTTCCTATTGGTCACCTTTCAAATGTCTGTGTTGCAATCATCTTTATTTTTGACATCCTAATAATAGAGTCGTCAACCTATCATTTATACATTCTCCTCCTTTTTTTTGAATTTGATACAGGTTTCTGTTATTGGACCAATCCCATTGAATGATAAATAAACACCCATGAGAGAGAGAGACAATACTATCGGAATTTAAATATATTTATCTCTTTTTTTTTTTTGGACGATCTAGTTTCACAAAAATGCTCTATAAATCCAAATTGAGAATTTCGAAAGGAACAAAGGATTCAATAAGGAAATAATTCCATAAATACAAAAGATAGACGCCACTGATAAAAAAAAGAAGCTTTCCTTTTAAAAAAGACAAATTCCAATTTTATAAGAAAGGTCAATGTATGAAGAGTTCCCCTCCTTGGAAATATAATCTCCTTTTTTTTTAAAAAAAAAAAAAAAAAAAGAGGGCAAATATATAAAAAAGTTTTTTTATAGAAAAGAAAATAAACTCAACCCCCTTTTTTTTCCTTTCTTTTCTCTCATTCTCTCTTTTTTCTTTTCTTTCTCTCTTTCTCTTTTTTTTTAAAGATGTCATTGTCACTGCTAAGCTCCAGGCGAGCCTTTATTACTGCCATCATTGTTACCGTTTTATTATTCTTTTCATTATTTTCTAGCATCAATATATCAGATAGACAATGTACCAACAATAGATTCATGCCCTCTGTTTCGATATCACTTTCTGCTAAGCCCAGCACGATTGACTTTAACCACTTGACAAGTTCACCTTTAGATGCCAAGCGAAACAAGGAAAAAGTGCTTGTCCTGACTCCACTCAAGGATGCTGCACGGTACCTGGATAGATACTTTGAACTCCTTGAACGTACAACCTACCCTAACCATTTGATCTCTATTGCCTTCCTTGTCTCTGATTCTTCTGATGGCACTCTCGAAGTCCTCCAAGAGTATGCTCACAAGTTCCAGAGTCGATGGGCCAACCGATTCGATTCAATCCGTATCTTCCAAAAGGATTTTGACTTTGATTTACCAAGCGAAAAGCGTCATAGATATGAAATGCAGCCCTTGCGTCGTAAAATCATGGCAAGGTCTAGAAACTGGCTTCTTTCAGCCAGTCTCAAACCAGATATCAGCTGGGTCGCCTGGGTTGATGTGGACGTGGTCGAGTATCCACCGACTATTTTTGAAGACCTCATGCGTGCGGATGCAGACGTTATTGTGCCGAATTGTTTACTTCAGCGTGAAGACAATCAGTTTTGGGGATATGACAAGAATAATTGGCAAGAAACTGATGATTCAAGAAAAATACAGGAAAGAATTAGTGAAGAAGACTTTGTACTTTTAGAAGGCTACTATGAATTCCCTACTTATAGATATTTGGTAAGATATACTTGTTTTAGTATACAGGTGCATGGTATTTAAACATAATATTAGATGGTGGATATGCCGACACATTTTGGAAGTGATTATAAAGTGCCTCTAGACGGTGTAGGTGCAACATTTACATTGGTCAAAGCTCATGTTCATCGTGAGGGAGCTATATTCCCTGCCTTTACTTATCAACATCAAGTGGAAACAGAGGGATTTGCAAAGATTGCAAAGTCGATGGGATTTAGTGTTTATGGGTTGCCTGGTTATCTTATATATCATGTGCAAAATGATTAAAAAAGAACTCCCCTAATTATTCCACAACACCAACAAACAGCTTTCACATACCCCCCCTCTTTCCCTTTCCTTTACAACTGTATACGTAAACAACCACAATGGTTTTTTTTTTCATTTCTATAAAGTAATACTATCAATATAATGCTCCTACTACTACAATTAATCTAATAACAATAAATGCCTCAGTCTTTGTGTTTACTAAACTTTTTATTCCCGCCCGTTTAAACTTTTGGATACACAGGAAAAAAAAAATCTGCAGTTTATCAACAGGAGAGGCCACCGAACATTATTTGGGCGATCTTAACGATTTGGCTCACATACTCTCTTTCTCTCTGTCCTGTCCTTATAACTAAAAATACCACAAGGTTTACTGAACCTGCAGTGCAACACTAGAGTTTTTTTTACAGCTGTGTTTGTAATATGATTGGCTACGGTAATTACAAAAAAAATGTTCCCGGGTGGCTGAATCTATATGCTATTGCCACTCTGTTTTGAATGAAAAGAGAGCATATAAAGCCTCAACTGAGCTAAAGGACATTGACAATGTGGTCAAGTTCTAACTAGGTTCAGCATATTAAATGCAAAAAAACCCTCTTTTTTTCTCACGGCGATTTGCCTACACACACACACACCGGAGTGCACCAAATGTAAAGCCATGCTTGTTCTTTGCATAAAAGGAACCAGGGACAGCCCAATCTATCTATTTTTGATAACTTTGGATGTCGGCTAATAGTGCATTCAGACTTGCCTATGCTACCGTTTCTCTATGGATATCTCTTGGGCATGGTTTCTTTGAATTTAGATCGAGTTAATTTAAATAAAGTGAGTCAAGAAACTTTGTGATATAACTTCTGGGCAGTGAAGCCCTTCTCAATGGTACACATTGGCTGTAATTGCAAAACATAACTTACTGTTAAACAATTGATTCTCACAACTGATGTTCTTTGAGGTAGTACACGTGAGACAGCAGGGTACTGTAACAAATTGCCCAGTTGAACAACAGCTTGATGACCTAATGCAGAAATAGTTGACAATTCAGTTGTTTCCTCTCATGTCGTTACACTACAACACAGAGAGGGAGAGAGAAAGACTGTGCTAACCTGTTGCAATGTTTTACAAGTGTGAGATAGAATGAATAGCCTGATTTCTATATAAATATTTATTACTGTCAATCCAGACTCGTCCATCTGTATAGTTTTGTAAAATAAATAAACAGATATGTCCTAAGCCCTTAACTACCAAACGCGCAAAAAGATACAAAAAAAGCATAGCTCTAGTCTCAAGAAGACATGTACGTAAAGCAACCATGTTTTGAAATAAATGAAAAAGACGAACATGTCACTCAAACTAGTTTTGAACTCAATGGAGAGGAGAGAGAGTTTGCATAAACTCTCCCTTTTTTTAAAAAACTTTTTGTGTCTCTTTCCCTTTCTCCTTTTTTTTCTTCTCAAAAGATGAAATACACAGACATTGAGCATATCCCCAGGATCGTTGAATCGCTTCGAGAAACGTTCAACTCGGGTATTTCGTGACAAGAAACCATTTCTCTGAAAACTAAACGTATGATTGTAGGTATTACCAAGGACAAGGAGTACAGAAAACAGCAGTTGAAACAGCTCAAGTTATTTTTGCAAACACATGAACATGAGCTATATGATACTGTCTATAAGGACCTTCATAAACATCCACTGGAAACCATGTCGGGCGAGATAGCGCCTATTCTTGGCGACATAGATTTTATGCTAAAGGTTATTCTATCAAAAATGCATAAATATATCATGAATCTGATTGAATACCCTCACATTAGAACCTTGATAAATTATGTCAACCCGTTAGCGTAAAGGCTCACTATAAGATGAATATGTTGGACAAGAATATGATCAGAAAAGAGCCTAAAGGTGTCGTACTTATTATTGGTCCTTGGAATTATCCAGTAAGACAAATATACTACATGAACAAGAGAAAAAAAAAAAAAAAAACTAATCTTTTTCATATAGGTACATCTTCCACTACTTCCCGTTGTTGGCGCTATTGCAGCAGGAAACTGTATTGTATTAAAGGTATTAAAAAAAAGTGTTACAACACGTCCAGAGAAATTCATACTTTTGATTTTTATATAGCCTTCCGAGCTATCTCAACATACCTCGCAGTTCCTTGCTGAGCACTTGCCCAATTATCTTGACGATAGATCATTCCGTATCGTCACGGGTGGTGTTGACGAAACCAAAGTGGTATTGGGTAAAGTGAGAGAGAATGAATAAACCATATGACCTCACTTCTCATCACCACCACACTTAGACCAAAAGTTCGATCATATCTTTTTTACTGGAAATGGAGTGGTTGGCAAAATAGTCATGATGCAAGCTTGCAAACATCTTACACCAGTTACTTTGGAACTTGGAGGCAAATCGTAAGTATTACTCCTTTTTTGACAAGGCGCTTATTTTTTGTTAGGCCTGCTGTTATTGCACCAGATGCCAATTTATCGGTCGCAGTAAACCGTATCCTGTTTGGAAAGCTCTATAACGGAGGACAGGTAACAGATACACACTAGTGCTCTTTAAACATATCACCTATATAAATTATAGACGTGTGTTGCTCCAGACTACGTCATGATCCAAAAGCAAGATGTAGATCAGTTTGTCGATATATGTCGCCAAGTCATTCGCGAGCGATATGGAAATGATCCTCAGCAGTCAGATTCCTATGGACGCATGATTGGTGAAAAACGATTTCATGCACTCAAGGAGATCTTGGATTCGGTAAATCCTCAAAAGGTGTTGATTGGCGGCCAAACAGATCAGAAAGACTTGTACATTGCTCCTACGGTTGTGAGCCCCGTAGATGCTCATGATCCTATGTTGATGGAACAGGAGATATTTGGTCCCATCTTACCCGTTGTCCCGGTTGAAGATATGGATGAAGCCATTCGAATCATCCAGACAAAGTAAGAAATTTGATAAAGTATATATATATATAAAGGACTAAACATATCCTCAGAGATTCTCCTCTTGTAGTTTACTTGTTTACAGAAGATAAAACAACAAGAAACAAATGTAAGTTGTAATAAACATGGCCCTACCTGTGTGCTCATCATTATCTTATAGTCATGGATAACACCAAATCAGGTGCTGTGTTAGTCAATGATACATTGATGCACGTCTTGGAAAGTTCATTGCCTTTTGGCGGTGTAGGCGGCAGTGGTATGGGCTCTTATCATGGTATCAAGTCTTTTGATACCTTTAGTTACGAGCGCTCTCTCATGATTAAATCCTCTGGCCTTGAAATGGTCATGAAAGCTCGTTATCCGCCTTACAATGATGATAAGAAGCTCATGTTTGCTTTACTCACTTTAGGATTGCCAGATACCATCACTGAAAAAGTAAAGTTTATTTTCAAAGTATGTGGATCAACCTATCGTGTTCTCTTTTCAAAGCCTACCAAACAGTAGTCCTTGTTCAATAATCCTCTTTTTTATTGCTACTTCCCTCTCATCCATTTTACCCTCTTTTAAAAATAAAACAAGCTCATTCCCCTTGCATGACCAAGTTTAGCTTATTTGTTCAAATGGGTTATTATGTACAATATCTTTATTGCTTTATGAGTTATTACTGCTGTTGTTTCCCGATTTCTTCCAAGCTTGTGCCATCTGTAAGAGTTTAAGTGGACCACTTTGTACTTTATCATCTGGGAAAATATAATCAAAGTATTCTTCCCAAATGATGTTATCCTCTGTAGAATCCTTAGCTTGTCTTCTTTTCTTGACTACCTTGGGCATCTTTTGCTGTACTGCTTGTTTGGTCTCATCAGTACCGTAATTTTCTTCAAAGTCTTTCCATGCTTCAAGTAAAATAACTCTCTAGAAAACATTTAGTCATTGTGTACGTTTTAACTCATTTCCATACCTCTTCTTTAAGTTCCTTCTCCTTCATTTTATCATATGCCTTTGCAAATATATTGCGAGAATTCTTGACATTTTCATCGCTTCCTTCTTCATATGGTATCGACAACTCAAACTGAGCAAAGCTAATATACACCTTAACATGCTCTGTACGTTCTAATAAGCGGTGATAAAGATCTCTAGCATTGTCATATTCTTCTTCTGCAATTTCAAAATCAATATAGGCTTTCCAAAGTAGTTCTGGCATATCCAGTGCTGGTTGTGCAATACCCAAGTCAAAGATAGCACGACAACGCTCTGTTTCTCCCAGAACATCTCTTTCCAATTCAGCAAATTTGATCCAGGCGGAACAGTTGGCAGGGTTGTATTCAAGGTACTTTGTATAGAGCGTACGACAACGGTCAAACTCTCTCATTTGAAACTCTAAATCGATATATCCTTTGAACAACTTGTTTTTGGGACACATACCAATGGCTCTGCCTAGTAGTTTTCGTGCCTTTTGGACATCCAGTTGTCGAATTTCAAACTGTGCATACAAGAGCCAAATCTTGGCAAAAGTAAATTTCTTGTGAGGTATTAACTTGATGCATTGCTCATAGATTTCACGTGTACGTTCCATATCCTGTGTCTCTAGTTCTTCATATAGCGCATAGTAGATCCATAGGTAGATATAACGTCTCCAGTATCGCTTTTCTTCTGCAGGTGGAACTTGAGCAATTGCTCGTTCATATACTTCTCGTACTCGAGTCGGGTCGCCAGCGGATTCTTCCAGTTTAGCATAGTCGAACCAAACATCATAGTTTTTCGGGTTATCGTCAATTTCTCGCTCATACTGAACACGTCGTTTACCAATAACCACATCTTCTATACCAGCCTTATCACCATACTGCTTTTCAAAATTGGTGTATTGATTATAGAGTGATTGTGATTTGGCTTTAGGAAGTCTTTCTAATCCATACTTGAAAATGACTCTAGCGCGTTCAAACTATATAGATCCTGTTATTCATCTCTCTCGTCTTTTTTAATATCGTCCTACTTACCTCTTTTGTTTTAATTTCAAATTTGGCAAAAGCAACCAGAACCTTTTGATCCAGTTTCTCATCGCCCAAGTATTCCAAAGCAGCCGTATAAATCTCTCTACATTTTGCTAAATTATTTTGTTCTTCTTCAAATTTGGCCCACTTGATCCAATTAGCAGGCTCAGGATGAATACTAACAAAACGCTCATAAATAGCCCTGGCGCGCTCTTTTTCATCATAACGCAACTCCATCTTGATGTATGCCATCCAAGCGTTCTCTGGTGGCTCCCACTTCATCCAGCGCTCAAACACATTTCTTGCCTTGGGAACTTCACCCAATGTCTCTTCCATATAAGTGTACTTGTACCAAAACTGGTCCATACGAGGCATCAAGGTGGTTGCTCTGTCCAACAGATTACGAGCGTGATTGACACATTTATTCTTTAGTTCCATGTCAATATAGCGTAACCAAATGGCCACATTACGCCATTCGACATCAAGTGCACGCTCAAACACAGATCGAGCACGTTGAAGTTCCATTTGACTTTCTTCCCAATTAGCATACTTGATCCAATTGCTAATGTTGAGTCGATTCTTTCGAATATTGTCTTCAAATTCTTTACGTTTACGTTGACGAAATTCTGAAAGTTCTTCCAAGTCAGCAATCTTTTGTTGTGGAATGCTGTGAGTAGGTTCAAGACGACGATCATGAGCTTCACGTAAAATCTGTTCAGCTGTAATCTGAATGGGAGCTGGGGCTTTATTTTTGACCTAATGAATGAGTGAGAGAATGTTCTCAAAGAAGCTCATTGTTGATCATACCTTGGGTGGTCTTGGGTTCTTTCCAAACCCACTTGTGGTTTCTTTAGAATCCATGATGAATAAAAGCAAGAAAAAAAAAATATATACGTCAACTCTGAGAGAGAAATTGCTTGTATTTTTGAATGTGCCACCAGTCAACACGTCACACATGGGTTATGGAGTCTATAACTCCCCCTCTTTGATGGTTGAGATGCCCCTTCAATCATTACTGTCTATGATGTTTTCAAAGAGGCGCTTGTAAAGAATATTATATAAGAGGAAACTTTTTAGGATATTTATTGTTGGCTGATACTGATAAAGATCAAATAGTATATTGTAACCAGCTGCTTGGAACATATGTAATCCTGAGGCTCTTATCGAGCAAATCTATAAGCTTCATTATCCATAAGCAAAAAGAAAAAGGCCAAGGAATATGTCAGTTTAACAGACAGTCAGTGGAGAAAGCAATGTATGATGAGTCGCGTTTCTTAGTAACCGGTAAACATGGGTTGCCCTTTAGGGCTGAGAAAGGAGAGGCAGCTTTATTATATGAGATTTGAAGGTTCAATTCGCAGAAAAAAGAAGAAAAAAAGACGTCTAATCAATTACAAGACGAATATCGCATATTGGGAGATACATAGATAAACTCATCTTTGACGTGTTTAGCACAGCAGTAATCTATCTGATGAGTACTAATGCATGAATATGCAATATATTGATATGAAGAAGATTAACCTATTGATTCAACCTGAAGAGCAATGGGGGCTTTAAATAATTATGGCATTGACGACAGATATAGGACATAATGATATTGATTATACGACTTTCTTAGAAGGTACCACGAGATGCCTTACGTCGTACCACACTCTCGACCCTTTGGAACTTGCATAATAGTGATATCACTTATAAAACATCAATTAGAGTATACTTCTTAATGATGATTCCTTGCACATATATAATAAACGCTATGAAAAACTAAATACTTAAAATGGAACACCACACCTGTATATTCAAAACAAAAGTCTAAGCAATGCTCCTTAAGCTTTTTTACAAATGTAGCTTTTTCAATTTCATGTGTGAAGAAAAGACGATTCATATAGTTGTCGCTACTAAGCCTATCAACAATATAAAAAATATTTGTCTTTGATACACTTGATTAAGGTCAAGGTCGTTTCTTCTGCTTTTAATACAGAACTCTTTGCTTTAGAACTGTATTTTCTGTAGATGAAAGAACAGTGAATAGAGGAGTGCCACCACTATCATTCAAATTCTAGTGAGAGTGTAGTGTCACGTAAGCGACCTGCGAGTTTACCACAGTTAAGCTATTGTCACTGTTAGGAAAGACTCCTTATATCAGTCGAGCCACAAAATTTGTAAAACATGAAAAGTTGAATGCATAAAAAAATAAAGTTCATATTTAAGGTATGACCAGCCGATGCAATGATTAGACGAAAAAAGGAGACACCTGGATTATGCGGTAAAAAAAAAAATGCTGCCAAACACTCCCAAGTGTGTAATGGGAACTATTAGGTAACATGTACTTAATGTTACCTCAAGAATATAAGAAAAATAAATTCGGTCTTTTTTTATTTGCTCATATGGTTGGGATCAGATCTAATAAAATATCAAGATAGCTAAACTAGCCAAAGTTTATATGTATGAACTCATTTAACCTTGATTACTCGGTGCCCTGAGCCTATTATCGTGTGAAAAAGCGTGTTCAAGTTGTTGAATCGCAACGGTCAATTGCCAATTGCATCAACATTGATTTGATTCTTTAGAGAAAACCAAGGCACACAAAAAAGGTATGCAAGACTTCTTTTTTTAACCTTGTCTTGAAATTTTTTTTTCTTTGACTCTGATCCTAGTATTGTCCTCAGTATTTGAAAATGTCTCTGTCTCTATTCCATGCAGCTGTGATTGTTTGCTTCCGTGCTATTCCACTGTATGCAGCGATTAACTTGCATTCACCCCAAATAAAGTAATGACCTCATCCATCCACTGGAACGAGACTCTCTCTCTCTGGGCTGACATCCATTTGCCCCATGTTGGAAATCAACCCGCATCAATTGACGTAGCGACGTTACAAACTGAGACAGTTTAGCCAACCAGTTGGAATTACAAAGGTTGTCCAAAGCGAAAACTGGGTCTTAATTTATTTTAACTTGGACCAGCGCCTAAATTACCCAGATTCAGCCAAACTTGAGGGCTAAAATTAGCAAAGATCCAGAGCCTCTGGTAAGAGTTACCTAGAAAAAGGAGGCGACACAGTTACAGAAAGCACAACTGATGTAGACAAGGATGACTTAAAAATTAGACATGCACTGTACGCATTGCTCAGAGTTGGTATGATAGAGACCAAGAGGACGTCCAGAATGCGGTTCAAAGAAAGCACGCGGAAAGCCCTGTTGAAGGAGAATAGAGGATTTTTGGTTGAGCTGATGAACAAGAAGGCAGTGTTAGCTTCAGACCAAATAATGGACGGTTTGATGAGCCACTTCATGTGTCTGGAAGTATCAAGTACTGCACCATACAATTTCACGAGGAACAAATGTAGAATCAGTTTGAAGAAAGCTCACTTCACTCAGTCAATCTAAATCCATATGAAAACCCGAGAAAAAGACGCGGCTGGGTAACTAGGTGGCAGCGGGTTAATATGGATTATTTAAGCAATCGCGTATTTATTGACGAGACGGCTTTTCATGTCAATATGAAAAGAGCAATAGATTGATCAAAGATTGATGCGGAGATAGTCATGCCAAAGATTCGAGTAAAGACAGTGACAATCCTTGGAGCAATTTGTGCTATTGGTGTTATTAACGTGAAGAGGAGGAACATTCCACGCAAGCGTCCAGCGCGTCATTTTTCCAGCCAATACAGCTTGAAGTCGCTGCACCTTTCTGCACTGGTCAAATTCTTGCATTAGTCGTTCTTCTTCTTGAAGTAGATGCTTTGATACAATAGATTTGTGTATACTGACAGAATGTTGTCAATCCAGTAGATTATGTGTTTCTAGAAAAGCTTTGTATGTAAGGTTATCTCTATTGTTCATACACCACTGAACATCAACAGCAGTAGTTTATTGCCGCTTTCTCTTGGAAGATATGGTTTATAAGCCAACATCGGAAAGGAGATACGATATTTATGGAATAGGTGATTTTACCTCGGAATCATAATAATACAGCAAGATAGAATGGGCCTCTTTATAATCTTCTTTATGAACAGAGAAAAGAAAGGGATTCATAGCAATAAAGACATTGATCTTTAAATACAAGAATAAATGTTGTCAACCAATTAAATATATAGATTATATTCACATGAATGCTGTGAATCTTTGTTGTGGACTTAAACAATATGTATATGACGACAAAGGTTGTAGTTTTCTTTGATATAAAAGTAGAAATACAACAAGAGATGTGACGAGCAAGAATAAAGAAATACTGATGTCTCGTTTTTTTTTTTCCTATTTGTTTTCATTTTATCAACTTGGATAAGCGTAAAGGGTGCTGTGGGCTAGTAAGTTGGCTACTCAGCAACAGAACGCCATTAGGACTGTGTTTTTGTAGGACAGCTTTTAGTACGAGTTGAAAGTTAGGAAATATTGCAACAGGCTCTTTTACGTATTCGAAATGCCTGGGATAGTAAAATTATACGGCATTTTGCTGCCTTCAGACATGCAAATTAAAGAATGATTGCTTTGGTTATCAATCAATCTTTTCAAAAGAGCTCAGCTGACGACCCCTATTTGTCATTTTTTCTCTTGGTACTTGTAGATAAACCAGTTAACTAGATTTTTATGGTGGCTCAAACTAGGCCTCATAACATGATTGGGGATCAAACCTAGATAATGTGGAAGACAAGATTATGTTGGCCATATCATGTTGCTATCAGTAAATGCCACTTTTGCAATTTGTGGTGTTGATTATCCATTGTTGGTTGCCATTGTGTGTTTTTGAAGCTTGCTATTGGCGTGGGTTCATTAAAGAACCTGTAATTTTACTCCCTAAAAAAATCATTGTTGTCTTGTTCATTAACTTATGCAGGCCAAGGTCATACAACGGCTTGCAAGGTTCATTAATTGCCATGGATCGTCTAATTATCTTTTTCAAAGTCAGTCGTCGTTTTTTCTAAAATTGGCGAATGATTTCCAGAAGAGTGTACTGTTCTTTGAAAAGAAAAAAGGAGGACTATAAATAGACGTTATACATAAGATGGGCTTAGAAAATGAATTAGCTCATTAATTATATAATAAACTAATTAATGATTCCCACCATAAATAGGCTTGATCATGGCTAATAAATGAGTAGTAGAAAGGGATCGACGCCAGGATAATTTCTTCTAGTTAATGAAGTACACTATTTCTGAGCAACATTTAATAATATAGAAAAATGACGTCGCAGCCAATGAATAAACAAATAAATTCTTTTTATTATTATTTGTAATTGATATTGCATATACATGTTTTATAAATCATATATTATGTACACCACACATACACACACACACAAAGATAAGGGAGAAAAAATAGAGATAGATAGATAGAGAGGGTAAGGAAAGGAGGTAGTGGGAAAAAGGGAACATATCTTATTTTGGCTTAGTGCTGTCTTGGATTAAACCAACCTAATCGACTAAATACAGTCCAAAGTGTGCTTGTCTTATTTACATCAATTCGTACGCACTTCTGGGCATCTGACTTTCTAAAAGTCATTTGCAATTTATCAAACTGTTGAGCACCAACGATAAGGGCCCTTCTGCATCTCAAGTACTGTTCTGGCGTTAATCTTAGGATGGAAGCTACTTCTACTTCACCAGGATGCAGCAATTCGTAATATGGCATATGTGAGATATCCAATGGAGTACCTGCAAATGAAACTATATGAGCAAAAAAAAAAAAAAAACTTTTACAATTCATGACTTACCTTTCCACACTGCTTTAACATGAGGGTATTGTGCAAATGCATCCATATTTGGTATCCATTGAGGATCATCTTGAAAGAATTCTTTATCAGGCTGAGTGATATCCAATGCATCGTACAATGCGGCCGTATCCGACTTGGATTTCTTGGTTTGTTTAGGCTGTGGCTTCTTTTTACTGTAAAGATCAGACAGGTTCATGGTGAAACAGTGGCGCGTAGAAGGCGAAGGTGATCGACGAGGAATTGACTTGACGCGAGATCGTTTAGTGATGGTTTTGAGATCTGCTATCAGGATAGGATCATATGAGTCGTGATGATGATCGTCATATTTTTCATCATAACAAGTCTTTGGCGTGACAGGGGGCGAAATTGGTATCATTTAAATTTACAAGAAAGAAAGAAGCATAGCTTGATTTATAGCTCAATCGACGGTAATCCACTTTTTATAGGCCTGTGACAGGTTTCGTAGGCTGGGGCCGTTACACGTGAATTCATTTTTGTTTCTTTTTTTATATTTTTATTGTGACTTTTTCTTTTTTAGGGCGTCGATCCTTTTTTCATCCAGCGTGTGTGCCATTGGATAGAGACTAGACCATTCTGAGTAAGAGACGATTGATATCTGAGGTCACTAGGATAGAGAAACTACATTCAATTCCCTATTAACCGAGACTGATGAAATTTATATATATGTATATACAGCATTGGCTGTGTTACCATAGAGACGGTTTAACATTTTAAACATCAGACATTGAGAATTATTCATGCATCTTTAAACCAGTGGCATTGAGATTCAAGAGTGACATTTACCTCTGTGCGACTCTATAAATCATCCAATTTCTTTTGTCGAGTTAATTTTGCTACACCCCAGATAATCTCAATGTTATGTTTTTAGGTCACAAATGGTTACTTACAGTCAATGCTGATCTTGTGCTTCCTTGCATTCATCTGGACTCGTGCTCGTTATTAATTACAGATCAAATTGATTTCGTATCACTATTTTGCCTGTTTGTCTAAACGGAACTCAAATCTCTAACGCATAAATATTTTCTTTGCTTACTCTAGATCCACAAGCGGTACTTGAACCTTATATGTCCTGTTACTTTACATAATAATCCAATCATGCTTTCCCAAGTAATGGTAATAAAAAGCATTAAAGAATTAAAAAGAGTTTGCTTAGTGAGAATAAAAATTAAATATTCACTTATTCTTAGATGTCACATATTCATATATTAATTCTTGGTCAAGAAAGAGTTACACTCTGGTTATTAAGGACATCGTTGAGTGACATAACTATTTATAGTTTCTAATGTATCCCTTAAAAAACAAACATTATTCCCGCAAGCTTCTATCATCCTCTCTTTAAGCTGTATTTTAGGTTCATTAACAATGGTAAATCGTACCATTGACACGTTCCTTTAGAGTATACACAGACACATACACAATGCACTACCAACATTTTACTATTTTTATATAAAAGGATTCTTTTAGGCATCCAACTTTGTATCACTACTCGTGTCCTGTACACAATTACGAGCATTGTAATCCAGCGCTTCTTGTTTGGCCTTATCGACATCAATAAAGATAACAATGAGAATGGCCGCACAAAACAAACCGAGCACAAAGGGCCATCCTTTCCAGATGCTCGATGTTGCTTCGGTAATCGCACCAATCACGACTGGACCGATCCATGACGATGCCTTGTTGACCACACCAAAGAGACCAAAGAACAAATTCTCTTTACCCTTTGGAATTAATTCTGCCAACATGGTTTGTTGCCATGCCCAAATGGGAGCGATGAATATTCCAGACCAGACACTCAACACCCATAATTCAGATTTTGTCTATTACACACATCAGTGGCTAGTAGGTTTGATACTTTCAAAAAGCGTGTGTACCTTGATCCCAAAATTATCAAATGCAATACCAAATGATCCCCATACGGCCACAAGACCCGTTGTAGCCATGATAATAAGTAGACTTGTCTTTGTCTTGAGTTTAAAGAATTTTGCGATCCATAGGAACATGAGGCAACCCATAATGGAGGTGATGGCACTGACTAAGCCCATGAGCGTACCCTCCTTGGCCGAGAAACTCGTAAGCTGACCTTGAATGATGCCTTGCATTTGTGAGATTGTCGATACACCATCAGAAAACATAAAATATGCAATCAAGTACATAAACAGGTATCGAAGTTTCTTAGCCTCTCTTTAAAAAATATATCAGTCACTTTTTCTTTTCTGTCTTTTGTTTTTTTTTTACTTTAGTGCTTCAAAGATGGAAGTCCAGCCGAGGGTCAAGTAATGGCTATTTGGAGGAAGTGGGGGCCCCTTTCTACCTTTGGGCATGGTTATAAAGTAAGGAATCGCATTCAATGCCAGGAACCCTGCACAAAAGACAGTACCAATAAAGTTATACATGGGTGCATCTCCAAGGTCACCTCCGTTGTACTGCACAAATGAAACGCCCGCGAGAATACCAGAGACGATGACAAAGCCGACGTTGGACCAGGTCGTCGATATGGTCGACACGTGATTTCTCCATTTCTCGGGATCCTCACCCTTCTCTCGCACTGCAGGTAGATTATCACTGCAAAGAAAGAATGAATATTCTGTAGGATAGTATATATATAAATATATGTATACCTTAAAATTGGAAATACGGCAGCATAGAACACAAGGGTTGCACCGTAAGCGATGAGACCAATAATCATAACGGCCATCATTAGTGGCCAGTGTGATCCGTCGTCATTGATCAAGACAATAGGAAGAGCCTGGAACAGACAACTTATCACGGTAGCAGTAAATAGGATATATCTGTTCCATCTACCATAATCTGCTAAACTTCCAAAAGTTGTGAAAAGTAGCAGTTGAATCGAGAAAGCGATCGCTTGAACGTACAAAAGCATAGAGGACACAGGAACGCTTGATGATAGCCAATGGACGTTACATGGTTTAAGGGCGTCTTGAATGTCACAGGGACCGTTTGTCTCCGGATTGAACCCTCCACGATAAGCAAGGTATTGCAAAATGACTGGCATATAGCTGTATATAGTATAGCCATTGTTCTAATAAAAATGTCGTCAATACAAATTTTTTTTATGCAAGAATAACTTACTCCATTGTAATACAGATAATAACTCCATAATTCAGCTCTTGAAGTAAGGGGTTGTTCATCATTACGAGTTACATTTTCTTTTACACTTATTGATGATTTATCTACGCTGGATGTCATTATTGATAATCAAAATAAAGAAGGGCAAAAAGAAGAAAGGAGAAGGGGAAAAAAAAAAGAGGGAGCAGGTTGATTTTAAATATCTTGTAATTGGATTTGTGATCTAACATAGGTAAACTTTGGTTACTATTTTTACACACAAAGTGGCTTCATTAAGCATTTCAACCTTGTATCACCAATCATTTCTTGCATATTAAAATACTCTGCATCATGTGTCGATTTATTCACATCAATAAAGGCACATAGACATATTTAATGCCTTTCTTACAAGATAAAAGTTGTAAATGACAGGGATGAGAAATGGAGATCGAGCAATAGAAGAAATGTAAGGGAGCCTTTGTCTATCAAAGCGATTGAGTAGGTTTTTAACTTTACCTTTGTTGACAATAGTCACCAGTCATATCAACATACGCTGACATTTTTAATTGGATTAAGCTAGCATATACATATACGCAACAATGTTAGTCTCAATCTTCACAGCACATCCCTTGTCAAAAAAGCAGCACGTACTTTGTGACTACATATCGCTCAGGCCTTGTGTCGCGAATGTTCATTATGTGGTCATTATCATCGTAAAAGTAAACATGATGGATGACAAAATAGTTGTCGTTAAGGAGTTATTTCTGATGAAAGCTTTTTAAACATAGCTTATCAGTTGTATATTTCCTGCAAAATAGCTGACCGTCAGTGTCATCTGATACTCCGGGAGAGCATAGGTACCAAAATCCTCATTACAGTTCAGGTTTGGATAAAGAACGTAATTATTTAGACGTATAGAGTTATTAAGGACGCGCATGAATGCCTAATGGTGCTTTAAGCATTGCTAGATCAAATATTTTACAATAAACAAAATACTACAAAACGGCGACTGCTATTTACATTTTTCTTTATTTGATGGTGTATTTACACTGGATGCCATTATAAATAAGAAACAAAGAGAGAAAGAAAGAGAGAGAAAGAGCAACGGGAGGAGGATGATTACATATCTTGTAACTGGATTCGATCTAAGACGGGCAATATGTTCTCCCAGATAGAGATACTCTTTGTGTAAAACTCTATGTGACAATCTGCATAAGCAGCTAAACTCTGTTTCAGCTCGGTCTGTTTAGCCTGTTTAAACAGTTCAAACTCTTTGACCATTTGATTAGAGTAATTGTTATTCTCATCATTTGCTTTTGCTACAGTTTGTTGCATCTACAAAAGAGTAAAAATCTGACATGACATTACTTTTTCTCCATTTACCTGCTTGATCTTTAACTCCAATCGTAGCAATTTTTCATTTCTGGCCTTTCCAATATCAGTCATTTTATCCGTCATGAATTCTGTTATATTCATGCCAGACGTGCTGCCAAAGTTTTTGCCTGGATACAATATTCTTTCTCTTTCCAAGACAACACTTTGTAAATCAACTGTCATATCTTCAAAAGTTACCTGTTTCATGTCTCTTTCTGTTAATTGCTCCTGTGTACAAGTTTGTCAGTGTTTACAACCTTTTTAAAAAATTTATATACATTACTTTAGCTGCATGACAGTAATTGAGTAGCTCGTGTAGGTCATTCAAGAATAATAATTCCTCCTGTCTCCTCTGCAAAGAATAAGTTTATGTCAGATGGCATCATAATTTATCGGTGATCATTCTTACTCTTTCTTTATAAGCATTTGCATATGTCTCAATAGATTCAGCAAACTGTCTTAGAGGTTGATCTACATTTGTCTCAAGTCCAGATAGTCCTCGAATACTTGCTGCAAACTGCTTATAATTATTCTCGAGTTCCTGCTGTCGTCTACCAATCCTGGAATATAGCTTTTCAATCACATGTAGATTATCTTGAAACTTATCGACTGTATCCTTCATTTCTTCAAATTTCTCATCTGGTTTCTTTACTTTGATAGCTGGTTTGAAAAAAGAGGAAAGAATACCGCCATTAGAAGCGGTATTGTTTGATGCTGTTGTTGCAAGTGTTTTGCTATAAACATTCTTATCCGTTGCCTGTTTATATATAAACATATAAGCTCTCTCCTTTTTTTTCTCGGTTCAATCAAAACTTACGAAATCAGTTGATTCTAAAAATAGACGTGTGTACTGTGATGCTTGTAAATAAGGATGTCTTGCAATTCTATCCATAAACCACTGAAGTCTGATACGATCATGATCAGTATAAGAAATAAAGATAAGCGATGTAATAATTACCCTAATCGTCTTTGTTCTATAAACTGTGGATCAAATCGATCTCCTTTAATGAATTCTATTCATAATGTATTAAAATATATTCTACTATTCTCTTTCTTTTTTGCTTACTTAGACGGTGCTTTTCAGGTAGTGGCGGAATGATACAAGTAGGAAACTCGGCTGATAATGCATTATGAAGCCAAACAAAGTCTCGAAATCTTCTTCGAACGGGCCTATTATTGGTTGAATAGTGTTCTAAACAGGTCTGAACGTTGATTCAGTCATATGTGCGTTCAAGAATAAGCTATTTTTTTTTTTTTTACCATTGTAAATAATCTATAAGTTATAAAGGAACCATTAGGACTCTTTTGAGGATCCTCTACACGAATGGTCATAGGTTCAGCTTTGAATGGTGGTTCAGCTGGTTCAGTTTGTTCAGTTATATCTTTAGTCATGTCTTGAAAAGGATCAAATGCAGTAGAAGAAGAGGCTTCATTCTAAATTAATGTAAACAAGACTGCATAAAACTAAAGAATGAGGCAAGATTACAAACTTGATCATAAAAATATGGAGCATTCTCTGTGTCTTCTATTGCCCATTGAATAGCATCATTTTCAATATCTGTTGTCGTCATAGAGTTTATTAGGGTGGATTATTAATAATAGAAGAAAAAAAGGAAAAAGATAAATTTGAATTTATATTTTGTTGATTTTTGTCATGGATCAAGCTTCGTTCAATTGAGATATAATAAGCATACACTTTTCTATTGTTCATTTATAATAGACTAGTAAAGAAAAAAAAAAGGAGGGTGTCTTCTTTCATTCATTGCTCAGTCAAGTCTTGTCTCTGATCTCTTACTATTGCCTAAATATGTTCTAAATAAATGCTTTATCCAGGAATGGCAGATATTAACAAGTATTACTATCCAAAGATGGCTCTCTTGTATCATTCTGTTCATCATGAATGGCTGCCTTATCATTAAAAAGGACATAGTCTTTATCATGAAATGCAAATCTCTTTTTAGCTTTGCATACTTTGCAGGTAGTTATTATGGTTGTCACTGGCATAGCTAATAAATAAGATATTCAATAACAGATCAAGTAAAATGCACAAGAGCTTACATTTGATGCGATGTGTGGATGTAATGGAAGGCAAAAGGGTCGTATCGCAGCGTTTGCATACCATTCTCTTTAAATGCGAGTCCCTATAAATTGTTTAACATTATATATTTCTCACTCTATGTCATACATTACAATCTGATAACAAGTTTAGCAGATATATGCTTCATTGTATTATTCAAGTATCGACTAGTACCAAGTAAAGTTCCTTTAGGATCTCCTTGCCAATCCTTCACTTTTGCTTGTTTCTCAGTTGATTCTTTAGTCGTTGTATTAGGCTCATATTTAATAGTTGACATCAAGACAGATGCCTGATGTAAAAAGTTGATGCGTTCATAAGCTTGAAGATTCTTTGGATTAATGCTTGGCTTTTTCTGTTTGCCCATGTCGCCTTTATATGTATTTGCTGCTTATGAAAAAGAAGAGCGAGTCACGATAGGAGAAAAAGGGCATTCTACAGTCAAATACACTCTTTCCGGGAAGTAAATTCACCCAATGGGCGAGAACAAATTCAGGTTGCACGAAAAATAAGTTTGCCTTGAGTGAAAATCAATTCGCCTAATGGCAAGAATAAAATTCGTGTTGTATGAAATGCAAATTCGTTTTGGCTGACAAATCAGATGCTCTGCTGCTAATAATTTGTAGGACAATCCTTGGCATTTTTGAATATGTAAGAGCGCACCGAGTGCTTGTCCTTGTTTTACTTCTCTTTCACAATTACATCAAAAGTTACCAGATAATGAACTTCCAATTCTTGTTTGAAAATGGAAATGGTTCTGTTGTCGACGAGTATGGCCGATCTGAGCCAATGGATTATATTGTTGATGAGAGGTAGTTTCGCCTTGAAACGCTGAGCTCTCATACACAATATTTAGCTCAGCTACCCCTGGAGAGCGAGAAAAGAATAGAGACAGTGCAAGTAGAAAAAGAGGCAAAGTCTAATAGAGATGTTATTATGAGGGAAACATCAGGGAAGCGTAATTATACTCGCTATTCAGGTCAGGACAAGATGAGGTTCTTCAAGTTGTTTTTTGAGAAGTGTTTGAGTGCGGCTGCTGCTGCAAAACAGCTTGGGATTCACATTCGCACTGCACAAAAATGGGCTACGCAGTACGAAAAGAATCCTGACAGTATTTTTGAGAAACGGAGAAAGACCGGTCGTCCACGTATTCTCCATGAGAAACACAAAAGTGCTACTTTCAAGTGCATTGATGAGAGCCCTTCAATCGTTCTAGACGACGTAATGAAGAAGTTAAAACAGATATTCACAGAATTAAAAGTATCTAAAACAATTTTGTTTGATTTTGTAAAAGAACATTGCAATTTGTCCCTCAAAAAAGCTCGGCTTCAGTCTATAGGCCGGAGCAGTGAAGAAAAGATTCAAGAGCGCTTGGATTGGATTCATAAATGGGAAAAAACAGACATGGATTTTATGAGAAACTATGTCTTTCTTGACGAATCTGCTTTCCATATTAAACTGAAACGTAATGTGACACGGTCAAAGAAAGGTACACCGGCAGTGGTCACAGTTCCCAAAGCACGAGCAACGACAACAGCCATTCTAGGCGCAATTTCTACTGAAGGTTTCATTAAATGCTCCCTTAGACTTCCTCAGCCACCATCCAGTAAAAGGAGAAAGCGGGAAGATGGTGTTGAATACATGAGCAAAGAAACAGTTACGGAACACTATATCAGCTTTCTTAAAGCCACAGTGGATGAAATGGAGCGTTATCCACACATAAAAGGTCACTACCTCGTGATGGATAATGCTCCTATTCATACATCCGAGGACATAGCCAAGTACGTAGAATCTCGCGGTTACCACTGTATTTACTTACCTTCCTATTGCCCTGAGCTCAATCCAATTGAGCAATTCTGGTCAGTGGTCAAAAGTAAAATAAAACGTCACAGGTTTCTCGAGAAGGAAACGTTGATGACCCGGATCAGTGAAGCCTCTAATAGCTTGAGGCTAAGTGATTTTCGAGGCATTGTCAAGCATTCACATAAACGTTTGGATAAATGCCGTAACAGCCAACCACTCTGAAGAAACTACCACTCAGTGGAAACAAGATCAATGATGTCAAAATAAAAAATATTATGGAAGGTATAAAAAAAAAAAAAATAGGCATACAAATAGTCCATTAACCCGCATACCCCAATTGATAATAAATGCAAGTGTTTCGCTTTTATTGGCTAAAGCCATCG